TTCCTCTTAAAAAAGCTCTCTGTACCACAGGTTGCCTCCATTTAGGCCCAAAGGAATGAACTCAGAAAACTAGAAAATCTCTGCAATCTGGCATCTATATTAACCTTCCTTCCAAGTAAGTTGATTGTGTCAGGGATTTCTTTGAGTAACAGAAGGTTGACTAACTCACAGCCAAATGACTGCATATATCATTCCATACTTAACAGTATCTCATGGACCACATTGTATGTTTGCACTCATCAGTGATGGGTATCTGAATAGTTGCTAGTTGGACTGTTCTGATGAGTCCTGCTGTATCCCTGTTGTCCCCTATTCTCTGTGGACACCACTTTCCATTCTGGAATCAATGCTCCACCCAAAGTCTGCAGTTACACTTTCTGAATAGTTGTACATAGCTTCACACAGGGCTGCACCATTTTACACTACTAGCAATGTCTGAGAGTTCTCATTTCTCCAAACTCTCCATCAGGCTGATTTTAACTCAGGATGAAGAAGTTTGGAATAAAAGTAGTTTCTGAGTGCTGCAGACACAACATGGAGTGGGTACTTGAGAGTATGATGAGCCTAAGTGGTGCGCCAAGACAACCTCATTTCACACCTCAGCATAGCTGTCAGACTTTTGCTGGGCTGGGATGCAGCCACAATCCCCTCTGCAGTTCAAAATTTCTCTGAAAATAAAGTCCAGGCCAAGCTCCAAGGACCAGGTTAGCTGAACCAAGGTTAGGCCAAGTTGAAAGGAAAATGGCAGCAGGCGATGTGGAGAAGAACAAAACAGGATGCAGGGAAGTCATCAGTGGTCAGCCTCCTTTCACCCAGAGCAGAGAAGGATACAATCCGACGGCAGGTTTTCCTGCCTCTAAGTAGCCTCTTTCTCACCATCATGGACCCCATTACTTTGTTTTTCTGCAGAGGATTTCTTTGCAGATAAATAATTCTGCCTCTACAAATAACATTAAAACTTTTAGCTTGCATCAGTTATGTGGCCTTTGGTTGTAGTTAGCTGTATGGACATGCAGAAGGATGGGCAACTCCATCTGTACTTTGACGGAGGCGAAGTGGTACTAACCAGATTAGGCATAGTACTTTCTCATTGAAATCCATCTCCATCATTCTTAAAGATGTTCCATTGTTCCGTGAGAGAGTGAACATACACATAGAGGCTCAAACACATATTCTCATTCCCCAAAGATACACATAA